ATAGACCCGACTGTATCTGACTCCTGCCCGCTATGCAGGGAGTCCTGTAAGGGTCAACCGCTGACGGAGGAGCTCCGTCGATGCAAACCAACTCAAGCTTACCCCAGGGTTCCCGATGGGGTTGTGGCATGGCCCTAGCCCCTCCCCGGGCTTCCGACAAGATCCACACCCTTGGATTCCTTTAACAGAATATCCTTAACATTGGGGGGCAGGTGATGGCCACACCTCCCTTCCCCAAAAACAAGTTCTACCAATGCCTAACTGCCAAACCTTACAAAGTTGTGGCGATTGCTATGAGGTAGGCAAAAACCAAATGGCCCAAGCCAATTTGCCAAGTGGAAAAATTCCGATTAGGCCCCTCAATGGCGACCAACTGAGGTCGATAGCAAGGTCAGTACTGGAACCTGAAAACAGTGAGGATAAGGCGGGAGATGCAAAGAGTGAGCCAGAAGGAAGTTCCCTGGCCCATGCAGCAGCTTAAATGGTCCCGGCCTCGGCCCCCTGGCCAACCGGATTGGTCAGCTGAATCTATGGCGCGGCTATCCTGGTGATGTGGGACCCCGTCCCGTCCCCCTGAGCGGAGTGGGTGACCATGAGGTCTGCCCACAACTTCTCCCCACTCAGAAGTGGAGAGTACTTTTCATTTGTAGGATTGCAGGTGGGAAGTGAGCATGCCAAACATATTTGAGTGGGGGATTTTTCAGGATTGGAGACATACATGGAGTCATTGTGACAGCCTAATATTTTTTTACTCCCCTGTTGGTAGAAAACTTTTCATGGTTTCTCTTTGTCTTGGAAGGAGCCGTAGCTCAATGGTAGAGCACATTTGTCAGCGAAGCTCAGATGCTGACAGGAGGAGAAGAAGCAGGCATAGGGAGAGGACAGTTAGTAGCAGAGAGGATGGGGACAGCAGCTGTAATCTGAGCTCTTAACAAAGGGGAGGAGAAAAACAGGGCCAGAGTGACAGGCAGCTGTATGAGAGCGACAATAGTGAGTCAGATGTTTTAATACAGGAAGCATTCTCTCCCAAATCTCATAGGATCTCAAAAGTGGCCGAGACGTGCGAAAGATACTGGAAGAGAAGGTGGGGGCTTCCGTGCTGGGGAAAGGGGAGGAGATCAGTCCGGGCAACTCCATCTTATGGGGAAGACAATGAGTGGAGGAGCTCCGTCCTAGTTTGCTGTTTTAGCAATAAATCTGAAATAATTAACAGCCAGAGTCGTCTCACATTTGTAAGAGAGACCAAGCCATAACAACATTATTTACATGCCGAAGGCTGTAGGTTTAATTCCTAGTACATCTAGTTAAAAGGGTCAAACACTTTATGACCTCTCTTTGACTAGGTCGTTGGAGATCTACTACCAGTTAAAGTCGAACACCTTTCCCTAACCTAGTACTATCCAGATGTTTTGGGTGCAAACTCCCATCAGCCTCAACCAGCCTCAACTAATGGTCAGTGATGAAGAGAGTTGTAGTCTGCAACATCTGGAGAGGATTAGGTTGAAGATGGTTGGAACAAGCAATATCACACACACAAAAATAGGCATTTAATCTGACCTGGTGTAAACTAGCTTACTATGATCTATAGGCCCATGTGAACATCCCGCTTAAAAGAAAATATAGAAAGTAATAAATCATCACTGTTTCTTTTGTAATGGATATTTCAGTATGTTTATTAAAAGGGCTTGCCACAGTTTCAAGGCTTTGGTGTGTGACTTAATTGAAAGCCCTAACATTCAAAATATAAAAGAGAACGCTGCCTTTGATCTGATAACCACAAAACAGCCTGAATACTTTACTGCAGAGATGAGAGTAAGCTTGTCCTTGTTCAAAGAAACCTGGTCATTCTAGCTAATACCAGGGAGGTCTCAAATCAAAAGGGAAAAGACTCTTAATACCCTACCAGGATGAGAAGATTTTCAGCTCTTCAAACCTCTGAACATGTACATGTATCAAAGCCAGGGAACAGTTACATTTTTTTTTATCAGTTCCCTGATAATCCTGCACTATAAAGCTGCTGCTTTAATCCTGCTCAAGTCCTCAAAACTCTCCTGTTCATAATCCTTAGGCCTTTGAGAATTAGTAGAAGACCCACTTGATGACAAAGATGCAGAAGAATTGCATTTCTATCCTGCCTTTCTTCCCAAAGGAGCCTAGGCCAGCAAACAATAAAGCAGTAGAATAATACATTTATTTATTTTTAAAAAGGTAAAACCATAAACATTTGGGGTTTTTTTCCTTAAAAAAAGAACATCTAAAATTATTTGAAAACATGTTCTAAAAACATTTTAGAGAGGAGCAGGGAAAGTTCAAGTAATATATCATACTCTTTAATTCCATCGATCAACCTTGCTTCCTGTATATGTGCTAACTCATACCTCAGTGCATGCACCTGGACTACAGGTGCATAGTTTGGGGTGATCCTGGATCCATTTTGTCACTTGAGGCTCAGGTAGCCTCAATAGCTAGGATGCTATTCATCAGCTTCAGCTGGTGTGCAAACTGTAGGGGTAGCATGGCCACAGTGATTTATGCATTGGTACTGTATCTTCCAAACCTGGTTAATGCACTGCTCTTTACTTAGAATTGTGTCCAGAAATGGATGGGAAGATAGTGAAACCAGTCAGTCCTGGTAAAAGTCTAGTTGCCATGTCTTAGCCAACTGGAGTAATTTTCAAAGTCAGTCCCAGGCATTTGTCTGTCCAGAATCAACTGTGGTTACCTGGCCAAAAACCCATGGATGACATGGGTTAGAAATTTAGATTGAGGGTACTGAAGGTTTGGGTGAGGGTCAGTCTGTATAATGCCCTGAGTCCGTTCCAATTCTTGGATTCCTGTATCTGTGGGGTTGTTGTTGTTGTTGTTACTATTCCCCGCCCATCTGACTGGGTTGCCCCAGCCACTCGGGGTGGCTTCCAACATATATAAAAACATAATAAAACATTACATACTATAAAGCTAGGGATGTGGGTGGCGCTGTGGGTTAAACCACAGAGCCTAGGACTTACCAATCAGAAGGTCAGTGGTTCGAATCCCCACGATGGGGTGAGCTCCCGTTGTTCGGTCCCTGCTCCTGCCAACCTAGCAGTTCAAAAGCACATCAAAGTGCAAGTAGATAAATGGGTACCGCTCCGGCGGGAAGGTAAAGGGCGTTTCCGTACGCTGCTCTGGTTCGCCAGAAGCTGCTTAGTCATGCTGGCCACATGACCTGGAAGCTGTACACCGGCTCCCTTGGCCAATAAAGCGAGATGAGTGCCGCAACCCCAGAGTTGGTCACAACTGGACCTAATGGTCAGAGGTCCCTTTACTTTTACCTTTACTATAAAGCTACCCTATACAGGGCTGCCTTCAGATGTCCTCTAAAGCTTATACTTACTTATCTCCTTGACATCTGATGGGAGGGTAGAAGATATGAGAGAAAACTTCCCAAACCAATCCCTTTGTCTAGGCAATGGTTGTGACTGGCTTGTTAAGCACCATAGCTAGCATGACTAAAGAAGTTGCATTATGCCATACAATGAATGGGTGGGACTCCCCACAACCACACTTTGTTGTTGTTTAGTCGTGTCTGACTCTTCGTGACTCCATGGACCAGAGTACGCCAGGCACTCCTGTCTTCCACTGCCTCCTGCAGTTTGGTCAAACTCTTGTTGGTAGCTTCGAGAACACTGTCCAACCATCTCATCTTCTGTCGTCCCCTTCCCCTTGTGCCCTCAATCTTTCCCAACAGTGTGTGATTGCTGAGCTGTGAGTCCCTCCATCTTATGCTCAAGTTGGATATATTTGTAAATAAAACCATATATTCAGAAGACACCACAGTCTCTGCTGAACTTCAGTCAAAGAATATCAAACCCTGGGAAAGAGTCTCAATCCCTGGAGTCTCTCACCACTCAAAGAATGAGATGGTGTGTAACTGGGGTGGGGGACGCTATCCAATGGAGAAACTAATACCAACAGTGATTAATATACTTTTCAGCCTGAGATTCAGGTTGTCAAAACAATAAAGGCCACCTGGGAAGGGAGGGGACTGCTTTTCTCTCCTCTTAACTTTAGCAAAACACTTTAATTCACAGCATTATGGATTAGCCGAAAACGGCCTACTTAATGTTCAGTGTAACTCTGGTTATAAAATTTTAAATCAGATACAAATTTATGCCTTTTTTTTATTTCATGGGCTCTCATAAAAAGCATCCTGGGCTGTTAGTGAAACTTATAAGTGGGTTGAAATATGCAAGCCAAGTGCTATGCACATTTAAGTTTTACATTCCAAATACGAGTATATTAAAGGACATAAAAACTCTGCTATATTTGTGCCGCTAACTCAAGGGAGAAGGAGAACTGGAGACCATTCCAAGGGATTAAGACCTGACTATCACTTTCTCTGTCAGGACAGAGGATGGCTTCAAGTGGTCATTATGAAGTGGTAACTTACAGGGAATGGAACCAAGCTACGTGCCAGGCATGAGATCTGTGATCATTAGGGATGGAGGAGGAATCTCTTACAGCCGAGTACAATGGGGCATGAGGGAGGTGTGTAAAATTATGCATAGTGTGGAGAAAGTAGATAAAGAAAACTTTTCTTCCCTCTCTCATAATACTAGTACTTGGGAAGATCAAATGAAGTGGAATTCAGGGCAGGCAAAAGAAGAAACTTCTTCACACAGTGCATAGCGGCCTTCTGGCGGTTCCCTCACTGCGAGAAGCAAGGTTGCAGGGAACCAGGCAGAGGGCCTTCTTGGTAGTGGTGCCCGCCCTGTGGAATGCCCTCCCATCAGATAGATGTCAAGGAAATAAACAACTGACTTTTAGAAGACATCTGAAGGCAGCCCTGTTTCGGAAAGTTTTTAATGTCTGATGTTTTATTGTATTTTTAATATTTTGTTGGAAGCCACCCAGAGTGGCTGGAGAAACCCAGCCAGATGGGCAGGGTATAAATAATAAATTGTTGTTGTTGTTGTTGTTGTTGAATTCATTCCCACAAGAGGCAATGATGCCATACTGGGGTAGCTCAGTTGGTAGAGCATGAGACTCTTAATCTCAGGGTTGTAGGTTTAAGACCCTCCTTGGCCAAAAGATTCCTGCATTGCAGGGGGTTGGACTAAATGACCCTCATGGTCCCTTCCAACTCTGTGATTCTATGGCCATCAACTTGTATGGCTGTAAAAGATCATTAGAAAAATGTGTGGAGGATAAAGCTAGCAGTGGCTAGCAGTCACAATCTCTATGTTCTGTTCGAACTTTTGGAGGCAGCATGCTTCTGAACATTGGTTGGTAGGAAGCACTAATGGGGAGAGCATTGTTGTGCTCAGGGCTTCCTGCAAGCATTTGGTTGGTCACTGTGAGAACAGAGTGCTGGACTATATGGGCCTTTGGTGTGATCCAGAAGGGCTCTTATTATGTTCTAATATATGAAATTTGAGGGACGCGGGTGGCGCTGTGGGTAAAACCTCAGCGCCTAGGACTTGCCGATCGCATGGTCCGCGGTTCGAATCCCCGCAGCGGGGTGAGCTCCCGTCGTTCGGTCCCAGCTCCTGCCCACCTAGCATTTCAAAATCACCCTTAAATGCAAGTAGATAAATAGGTACCGCTTAAAGCGGGAAGGTAAATAGCGTTTCCGTGTGCTGCTCTGGTGCCGGTTCGCCGGAGCAGCTTCGTCACGCTGGCCACATGTCTGCGGACAGCGCTGGCTCCCGGCCTCTAGAGTGAGATGAGCGCACAACCCTAGAGTCTGTCAAGACTGGCCTGTACGGGCAGGGGTACCTTTACCTTTACCTTTATATGAAATTTGGGGATTCAAACCTGATTAACCACCTCTTCCATCGAGTGCCCAATTAGGTTCAGACAACTTGTGCATTGTGGATTGTTGTTTTTAATGCCTGACTATAAAATTATGCAGAAAAGATGTATAATATATATATATAAGTGCCAAGTCCCCATGTGGTAATATATTTCTGCAGCGTCATTTTATAAGTATGAATACATAAATATTTGTATACACTTGTATGTGTTGTATTCTATGTCTGTTTATGTGCTGGTTACTGGAAATCTGAAGGATTGGGTTTTTTTTAAAAAAATGCCCCTTATCAATATTACGTAAGAAGACGGGCATTTTTAAACATCCATGCAGATAAGCTTGAGGTTTTCATAAAATTTCACCCCTAGTGATCATATGTCTGCATCCAAGTGAAGGGCTCTGCAGCCAGCCTCTGAGTATGTCCATCGCCCTCAAAGGTGCCTAAAGGGGCTCTTTGTTAAATTCCACACACCTTTCTGCCCAGCATGCAAACAAATTGAACTACAGTGGTACCTCGGGTTACATACGCTTCAGGTTACATACACTTCAGGTGACAGACTCCGCTAACCCAGAAATAGTACCTCGGGTTAAGAACTTTGCTTCAGGATGGGAACAGAAATCGTGCTCTGGTGGTGCGGCGGTAGCAGGAGGCCCCATTAGCTAAAGTGGTGCTTCAGGTTAAGAACAGTTTCAGGTTAAGAACGGACCTCCGGAATGAATTAAGTACTTAATTCGAGGTACCACTGTATGTCCCTAGGCCAGTGGTGGCAAAACTTTTAGAGACCAAGTGCCCAAACTGCAAACCAAAACCGGCTTATTTATCGCAAAGTGCCCAAAGTTTGTTTGCTGGGGGAGGGGGGTACCCGAAGTTGTTGAGCTTTTTCTGGGAGAGACAGAACAGAAAAAAAGCTGTGGTTCTTGCCATCTCCCTCCCTCTTCCCCCCTCCTGCCGGATGTGCCAGACATGCTCTCCTGTTAGCTGGTTGGCTCACTCTCGGGCTGCTGTGATGGAGAGGATGGAGCAGCCCTGAGGCCAGGTGAGCGGCAGCCAGTAGGAGAGGGAGAGCCGCCACCCCAGCCAGCCAGCCCAACAGCCATGCCTGCCTGCTCCCCGCCCCCAATCCCGATGTGGTCTTCCCCATCTTCCTCCCTCCAGCAATGTTGCCGCGGCAAAGGGGTGAGGCCCTGGTGGGGCCAGGCGTGCAGGGAGGCGACAGGTGCAAGTGCCCTCCTAGCCCAGGCAGGTCAGGCCCATGGGAGGTGAGGGTCCTATAGAGGATTGGAGCTGGGAGGGGGCAGAAGGGAATGGGCAAGGCATGGCTTGGAGGGGGAGCTGGGATCTACCGCGCAGCATTGAAAAAAGTGCAGGAAAAAAATCATGGCGGTCAAACAATGAATGTTGTTACGCTCAATCAAAAGTAGCCACTGCCACAGCCAATAGAAAAACAGGCCAAACGCCGAACACAATCGCTGGCTACCAGCAAAAATAAAATAAAATAAGTTCCGGGTTTAAGGAGTGGATGCACACAGTAGCATGGGAAGGAGCAGGAGCACAAATGGAAAAACAACAACAAAACATCAGTGCAGATGGGCCGATGACGTGCGTGCCAGCAGTGAGGGCTCCGCGTGCCCACTCTGGAACATGTGCCATAGGTTTGCCACCGCTGCCATAGGCCCTTATTTAAAGCACCCAGTACACAGCAGACAAGAGAGAAAGAAAAGAATTTTTGGATAGGCCAAAAAGAAAGAAAGAAATACTACTCAATCTTGAAGTTACAGGAAAACAGGGTGGGCGGTTGGGTGCCTAGAAAGCGAGACATGCCAAGGGAAGCCTTAAATATCCTATTGCCATGCTGCTACCACTGCCATGCTTGTGACTGCGCATGTCCCAGCATCAGGCACCCTCATTCCCTGGCCAGAGGGATCAGAATTCTCTCATGCTGCATCTGATTGTATTGCACACTTTGGACAAAGTGGGGATCTAGAGGCAGCTCTGATGCCCAGCTCAGTGGCTGGTGATATGGACACCACTGATATTTATTACTCTTAAAAAGCAAGGGGGAAATCCTCTAAATAACAACAACAAAAACACTAGTAAACAATTGTGGTGGTGCTGCATTTGACCCCTTTACCACTAAACGCAGGCATATAACCCATTGTCAATTTTTCTTTCTTTCAAAAGTTGTCAAACTCTGGTATTACCAGGTCCCACTCTTTGAGCTGCACACTTTGGGAATCTGGAATCCCTATGCTGGTGATAGTTGCATTATCATGCAATTGCATAGATCATTGATGATGATGATGATTAATGTTGATAGCTACTGTAGATCCAGCAAAGAATGATCAGCACCAATAGAGTCTTCCCATAAATGCTTTGTAGAAAAGCATGTTTTCCAGACCCTCCCAGTCTCCCTATTTTCCAGGAACAGTCCCAGATTTACAGAAGCCGTCCTGGTTTCTGATTTGAACTCAGAATGTTCCACTTTTCTTTAGGATGTCCCTATATTCATAAGAGGAATATTGGAGGTCATGGTAGGGTGACTCTATTTTCATCAGAAAAATGTTGCATGTCTTTAGAAGACATCTGAAGGCAGCCCTGTGTAAGGGAGTTTTTAAATGTGTAATGTTTTATTATGTTTTTATATATGTTAGGAGCCACCCAGAGTGGCTGGGGCTGTTGTTGTTGTTTAATAGGACGCCCCTATTTTACCAGAGAAACGTTGGAAGGTATGTCCCCCCCCCCCAATATACACTAACATGGCTCAGCTGAATGTTACCTCTCTTTGAGATAAATTCCCATCTCAGTGATTGATTCCCAAATCACCACACTGGCACTGGGCTGCGCAAGTGATTGTGTGGAGGAGGTGGCAGTGCAACATACTTAGCAGTCATCACGACACAGAAAGAGATATGGGAAGCCAAACTTTTTGCTAACGAGGCACTAAATGTTTAACTCAGCATTTTATTTTATTTTTGAGTCAATGAAGATGTGGTGTCTGGGAATGCATGATTCAGCACACCTGAAGGCAAGCGGGCTGCAGGGATTTTAACATCTCTCCACGGGACTGGAAGCTATGCATCAGGCTGATAAGCAATACCATACGCTTGGTGACCTGGGGCTCTTTGCCTAAGGTTGGTGAGTGGAGCAGGGGGAGATCCTGTGGTCATTAAGTGAAACAGTTCAAGGTTAGGCAGTAGCTACAGTATAAATCCTGAGAGTGCTCTGTGCTCCTGCTACACACAGTAGCTAAACATTTGGTCTTAAGGGGCTTCTCCCCTTGCCTTTGGAAGAAGGGGAAAGTGAGAGGGTGTGGATTTTCTACAGCAGGCAGATGGTGGTGCTTTGGTTCCTTCAGTTTCAAGAGGCTAACAATATACAGGCTGATCAGAACCAGGTTTGAATTCTGCTGCTGACAGAATTTTCAAGGCACATCACCCCCCACCCCATGATAGACTTTTAACCCTACATTTTTTCACCAATACCTAGAAACATCAAGCCTGCAGCACCAAGCGCTGCACACAGGGTGACCACATGTAAAGGGAACAGAACTTATTTACCTTGAAAGCTGCACAGGCTTTATATGAATGAACTGCTTAACTGGGGGGCAAGGAAGCCTAGATGCAACTGGTGTTTGCAGTTTTTGTTATGTAAATAGCAGACAGGGGGCAGTTTGAGCAGACACGGGAATGGTCTAAGGTGGAAGCAAGGGTGCTACCAAGGTTCCGGCAAAAATTCTCTCTCCAAAGCCACTACAGTGGTACCTCGGGTTACATACGCTTCAGATTACAAAAGCTTCAGGTTACAGACTCTGCTAACCCAGAAATATTACCTCGGGTTAAGAACTTTGCTTCAGGATGAGAACAGAAATCGCGCAGCAGCGGTGCGACAGCAGCAGCAGCAGGAGGCCCCATTAGCTAAAGTGGTGCTTCAGGTTAAGAACAGTTTCAGGTTAAGAACAGACCTCTGGAATGAATTAAGTACTTAACCCGAGGTACCACTGTATTTGCATTTCAAGGGAAGTTTTCATTTGTACCAGTGCCCTTGAAATTCACATAACTGCTTCAGTCACTCCTCTAGCTGGTCCCAAAGATGCTCTGGCTTCCCCTTGGCTGCTATTAGTATTGACATATTTTTAAAATCTGCATGCTAATTGCATTCACATAGTAAACATCACATCTAGTGTGACCTAAGAAGAGAGAAGAAGTGGAGGAACCCTGTTAGGGATGGGAGGGATTTTTTTATTATTATGTATTTCAATGTAGAGTGACACAATTC